ATAATAATAATAATATAGAAAGATGAATTCTTGGATGCCAAGACCCAAGTTTGGGGGCAGTACTCTTAGGTGAGAGAACCCCAATAGAGATTTAAAAATCACAGAATATGCCAGCAAAGCGGGGAAATACAGGATGTTGCGGAGGAATTGTCCCTTCGATATACCGCATATCTTTATTGTCATTGGTCCCATTGCAGAACAATGAAATTGAAAAAACTACTTAAAAACATTCAAAAACCCCTAAAAACTCTGAAACCCATTTTAAAATACACTATACTATAGAGACCCCTTATGCTGCGTTTAGAACCAGAATTGCATGGCGTAGAAACTGTTTCTCAGGCGGCTAGTCCTGCCTTTATAACCCTATACCTTCTTTCAGAAGGCAGAAGTTGAAAGAGATCATTTCCGGGGTGCGTACTATCCCGCGCTATCTCTGCCGCTTTTTGTGGCACCTGACAGCATAGATTTGATCTAAGGTGGGAAGAGTGCACCCAGTTATTCTCTCTGCAGTCTTTACAACCCTGGACAGCATTGTTTCCCCCTGACCGTGCAGCTCCCAAACCACACACACAGACCATAAGTTAATACACTCTCCACAGTGCAATGGTAAAATGCCGTCAACAGGTCCTTTGAGAGATTGTTTTCCGGAGGATTCTCAGAGGATTCTTCCAAGTTCCTCCCAGTTTCCCTAGCATAGAAAAGACCACACGTTTGGTAAGTTAAAAATACTTTACTTACAAACTACCCAAAGGTCAGATTCATGTACTTTTCCATATAGCATTCAGAAAAAGTTGCACAGGCAGTAAAACTTGGCTTAGTTGCAGTGGTGAAAGTTCCCTTTTTTGTGTGTACAGAAACTCAAGAGAGGCTTGTAAGAGCCATGTGGTCTGAGCTGCAGCAACCCTCTCAGACCTCCTCACACGTTGAGCTTCTCAGATAGACTGATGGAGAACAATAAGACTGATTATCTAGCTGAGCAAATCCAGGCAGGACAGCTTACTTTATGGTCTTAACCCTTCATGCTTTAATTAAACTTAAGCATATTGGCTATACGAGGCTGGTTATCCCACCCTATGGCTGTACAAAACCTCCTGTCAATTCATACCACAGTGCATGCCTCTGAACAACCAATGTTAGAACCAATTTCTGTCAGTGCAGCTATAGCCTTGTTAAGTTTGCTTATTTAGTTATTTCATCTCTTTATATGCTGCTTAAGACTAAACTTGTGAAGTGGGTTACATTACAGTGGTACCTCGGGTTACATAGGCTTCAGGTTACATACGCTTCAGGTTACAGACTCCGCTAACCAGAAATAGTACCTCAGGTTAAGAACTTTGCTTCAGGATGAGAACAGAAATCGTGCTCCGGCGGTGCAGCGGTAGCAGGAGCCCCATTAGCTAAAGTGGTGCTTCAGGTTAAGAATAGCTTCAGGTTAAGAACGGACCTTCAGAACGAATTAAGTACTTAACCCGAGGTACCACTGTACTCTGAATACATTTTTTTAAAAAAAAAATCCAGGCATTTTAATAAAAGTTTAATCTTGCAGATTTAACTGGGTTGTGGGGGTTTTTGTGTTTTTTGTTTTGGTACCTCTGTTGGTTGGTTTTTTATTTGCACCACAAATAGAGAACCAAAAAATACTTTAGGCAGTGTGGAACGAAATTTCCAAGATAAATATATTTTCATACTTTTTCAACCAATAGAGACTATATATAAATGGCCACTAAAGACCCCTCATTTTATGATGGGATTTTTCTTCCTGTCGGGAGAGTAGCAGTACAATAAACCCTAAAAACATATTCTGAAAAGTAATTAAATGTCAACCATGTATGATACAAGATATGTCCTATAGGGTCATCAAACATGATGCCTTTTCCGTTCTGTTAAATACTCCTCTACATCTGACTAACAAGGTATCAGTTTCAAACTTGCAGGTAAGAGTATGAGAATTTTAAATTACTGAAGCAATACAAAAATATATATTTAAATATTTAAAGTAAATCCAAACCTGTGGCCCCACAGCTTCTTATGTTGCTCAGCAACTGGCTAAGACATAGATTTCTAATAGATCTTTTGGCCCCCAACTAAATTTTATTTGCTGCTGCTGTGAATTTTCTTTGGGCTGCTTAAATCCCCCTCCCTTGTGGCCATTTTTAGTTTTTTAAACACTATTTTTTTCAAAAATTGTATTGTAAGCCCTCTGGAGGAGGAGAGAGGTCTTGAGGAAATGGCAGGATATTTTGGTAAAAGAAATAAAAGCTGGTGTATGCATTTTGTTTTGTTATTTGCCTTTTGCTTTTTAAAAAAAACAACAACAAGTTTCTAGTCCACATGCCAATGAAGTTGTGCCTGAATGTATGTGGACACAGCTGGCTGACAGCTCAGAAGCCCGGGAGCATGGTTGAATAAAATCTCAGGAGAACAAGCAGATGAATTATGCAAACTTGCTCCAATGTGCATAAGCTATACCAGGAAATAAAAACTTATTTTTCAGGGCACCGTATTGTGAATGCCTTGGGCAATTTACATGTTCTATATCTATATATATAGTGTGTGTTCGTGTGTAAACATACATACCATTATTGATATATAGCAGAGAGTGTTCACAATCTTGATTGTTGTTGTTTAGTCATTTAGTCGTGTCTGACTCTTTGTGACTCCATGGATCAGAGCACCACCAGGCACTCCTGTCTTCCACTGCCTCCCGCAGTTTGGTCAAACTCATGCTGGTAGCTTCGAGAACACTGTCCAACCATCTTGTCCTCTGTCATCCCCTTCTCCTTGTGCCCTTCATCTTTCCTAACATCAGGGTCTTTTCCATGGAGTCTTCTCTTCTCATGAGGGGGCCAAAGTATTGGAGCCTCAGCTTCAGGATCTGTCCTTCCAGTGAGCACTCAGGGCTGATTTCCTTAAGAATGGATACGTTTGATCTTCTTGCAGTCCATGGGACTCTCAAGAGTCTCCTCCAGCACCAGAATTCAAAAGCATATTAAATATCATGCGCAAGATACACATGAAATGCTTTTTTCTCCAACCCAAGAAATGGTGCAGATCTTTAGGAATGTCTTTTAAGTAACTTTCAGATGTGCCAGCCCCTTTCCTAACAAGGCAACCTCCAGATGTTTTGGACGGCAGTTCCCATCAGTCTTAGCCAGTTTGCACAGTTTTCTTGTTGGAGAGGAGGCATAAAAACGTTAAACCAGTTCTTTGGAGGTGGATTCTGAGCATCGGGAACACCCAAATTAAATAAATGGGGACAACTCCTCTCCTCCTTCATTTTTGCTCCCCACCTGCCCCCTGGCCCCAGACTAGAGCTGATTAAGGTGTTTGGTGGACCTAGAACAGGCCCTAGCTGCACAGATGTGGAACTCTGAGCAATGCCTCCTTCTTGTGATCTTGCAGGATGGATGGACATATTTTAGGTGAAGAAGCAACGCTATCTGGAAATGGCCTTGGAAATGTTTTCGGCAGCTAGACTGGTGACTGGGAGCGGTTGCAGAGACCACATAACAACGGTCTTGAAAGACCTACATTGGCTCCCAGTACATTTCCGAGCACAATTCAAAGTGTTGGTGCTGACCTTGAAAGCCCTAAACAGCCTCAAAGGCCCAGTATACCTGAAAGAGCGTCTCCACCCCCATCGTTCTGCCCGGAAACTGAGGTCCAGCGCTGAGGGCCTTCTGGCAGTTCCCTCACTGCGAGAAGCCAAGTTACAGGGAACCAGGCGGAGGGCCTTCTCCATAGTGGCACCCGCCCTGTGGACCGCCCTCCCAGCAGATGTCAAAGAGAACAACAACTACCAGACTTTTAGAAGGCATCTGAAGGCAGACCTGTTTAGGGAAGCTTTTAATGTTTGACGGGCTACTGTATTTTAATATTTTGTTGGGAGCCACCCAGAGTGGCTGGGGAAACCCAGCCAGATGGGCGGGGTATAAATAATAAATTATTATTATATTATTATTATTTTCTCCAGTTGCATGTTCTCCCTATTTTTGAATAATTTTTATTGATTTCAGATTTTCAGTACAAGACGTCTAGAGTCAATTAAAAAAAACCACCTGTGCATTAACATAAACTGCAAAAATAAAACAGAGGCACTGTCTTTGCAAGGCTTTAAGTCACACATTGCAGCTAGTTCATAAAAAAGGTACTGCACGTTTACAAACAATGAGCAAGTAAGAGTAATCCTCAGTCCTTACTTTTCCTTTTCTCCAGGGACCAACAAACTCTGTCTGATGGTTCTGTTGCCCAACACTCATTCTTGCCTTTGCAAAGGCCTTGGCCAATGAACCTTATTCCCATTTTACAGATAGAAGAACAGAGGCTGAATAAGAAGTTTGTGTATTCGTGCCTGTGCAGATAGCTGCCCAAGGCTAGCTAGTTCACAGGCCTGAGCTGGGGCTTAAACCAAAGGTTTTCAGCCTCATACCCAGCTGCCCACAACCGTCAAACCATCTTTTTATTTTTATTTTGAAGTGGATGCGACTCTCGTGTTCCTTCCTTTCTAAACACAACTTTAGAAGCAATAATACAGAGATACCAAATTTTGCACTGTTAAAATGCGAGTCGCGCCCTCTCTCCCCAAATACATTGGATGCGCTGTCCGGTCTGCGGGAGCTGTCCACCGTTTCCTGGTGCTGAAATGGCTATTCTCTGTCCAGACTCACCGTGGTACTGATTTGCTGGGGGCGAAGGGAGCTGCCCGGCTGCTCGAGTGGGGCTGCCTTGAGCAGAAACCTGGACCCGATCCGGGCATGGCGAAGCAGCAGACTTGGCGTTCTTCCACGCAGCTCTCACGCCTCGGCCACACTCCCTGGCAACGTGGGCTCTGCTAACCACCACCCAGCTTGGGCAGAGTTGCATCGCTTCCCTTTCCCGGTGGCGGCGGGGGTTTCCTTGCACGTCCCCTCCCGCCCCATAGCTTCTTTCTGTGGGTCCTGAGGGCTCATTTCTCTCTTCCCACAACCTCCCCCCCCACCCCACCCCGCACCAGCGCTGCCCCTCCCCTTCTCTCCTCCTCCTCCTTTCACCAGAGGCGGGCTCGCTCTCCATCTCTCTCTTGTCTCTGGCTCCGAGGAAGGGACACTCTCTGGCTGGTGGGGGCTGATCTGGGGGCTCTCGGGCTTCCACCGCCACCCCCTCGTGTTAGGCACGGCTCCCAGCCCTCGCACACGGCGCCCAGCCCTGCTGAAGAACAACGTGGGGAGGAGGGCGGCGGGCAGAGAGCGCGAGAGAAAGACCATGGCGAGGAACTGACCGGCTTGGCTCAGCCACAGCTGTGGGTTCTCTCTGAGAGGAGGCGCAGAGGAAGGTAGGTGCTGGGGCGACGTGGGGGGTCCTTTTCCGCTCGCGGGGCAGAGGATCGTGTGTGTGTGCGTGCGTGTGCGTGTCGGGGTAACAGAGAGAGGGGTTCCTGTTCCTTCATTTCCTCCCGCCACCCACCTACCCAAATCCTCTTTTCCTGCTTGGATTGATCCGATGGCGGGGGAGCAGTGTGTGTTGGGGAGCTTCTGGGTCTCTGGGTGATCCGCTGTCGATCAGGATCGGGACCACGGGCTGTCTTGAGCCTTCCCTCCCTCCCTGCTCCCGTTTACTTCTTACTCTCTCTGTCGTTCTTCATCGCCGCTGACTCTCGGGTCCCTTCGCATTCCTTCCTCTCCGGGCACCGCGCGCCAGACACTTGCAAATTTGAGCCACAACCTGGTGCCGGTCAGCGATCGCCACATGATAGCCCCCTCGGGGGCGGGTGGGGGCCGCGAGGCTCCGGCCTCCTGAGGGCATTCCCCACCACCTACCAATTGTACTGTAGATCCGGTTGTGCTGACACCATTGGGGTAAAAAGAGATGGAGAGAGAGACCTCTTTGCCTCGCCCTGGAAACGCGTGCCGTTTTAGCCGTGCTTAGCTAAAATACGGCGTCGAGGTGTGATTAATACCTCCACCCGCTATGAAAAATATATATGAAAAGAAATGAAAATCCAGCTCCAAAATTCCTACTCACTTTTAAAAAATTAAAACCTGGTACCATGGTGTCAAGGTCCCTACCCGCCTTTTTTTTTAAAAAAACACAATTAAAAATATTGTACCAAGATTCCTTTCTGTAATTGAATTCTCAATAATATTATGATTATTTTTTTTAAAAAAATATCCATCCCACACTTTCCCCCTCCATCCTTCTTTACGTCCCCTATCTCACATATCTTTCTAGCTAGGACAGTTGCTATAGACACCACCTTCAGTTTTGAAGGATCTCAGAAGATAATTCACCGCTGCCACCACCTCGCTTTTGCAGAGACATGCATGCGTTACCCACTCCTCCACCCCCAAACTTTTTTTTAATTTAAAAAAAAATTATGATAAATAAGAATTATTTCTGGTTGCCGTTCAATATACTCTGACAGAGTGGAATAGGCGCGTGTGCGTCCCCACTCCCCGGTTCAGTCTAGTTCAGTCTGAGTGATTTGGGCTCCACAATGGCCACATTCTGGACTAAGAGAAACCAGCGCCGGGTTGGGAGAGGAGGCTGGATCCTGCACATAAACAAACTGAATTTTCGCCTGGCCAAAAGTAGTTCGTGGGACCTGAAGCCCTGCAGTTCCGAGGGGAGCAAACCCCTTTCCTCTCTGGTTCAGCAACCATATTGAGCGATAAGTGTCTCAACACACCCTAAAAACCATCAGATGTTTATATGTTTCAGATTCCAAACCTGGGAGACGAGAGGAGATTTCCCCCTCCCCAGAAAACAATTCACATCAAATACACATCTGCCCGGATCCCAAAATCAGGAGGACTTTCCCTCCTCAACTCCCTCCCCACATTAAGAAGGGGGGGGGACACTTTCCAAATGACAGAAGTGAGACGTGTAGGTGCCTTAAAGCGGGTATGGATTTGATGCTCTCCTGTGCTGTGCTGTGCATCTCCAGATGTGACATAATTTTTTTGCCTGCTCTATTTCCCACCTTCTCCCATCCCCAACTTGGAGGCAACTTGTTGGAGGCAGAGTCCATCACCCTGGGATGTCCCCTGGCAAGGACTGTCTCCCTAGGAGATATTTGTTTGAGATGGAGAGGATGATATATAATGATAATAATAAAAAAATGCACACCTCTTGGCTTGTCTCATGGCCCTGGCATGCCAATTCCAGCCCCGCAGCCATTTTGCCAGCCTCGTGAGTTGTCTTGTAGGGTAGACCAAGCACTGGGGGAGGTGGGGGGGGGCTGAAAGGAACTGGACGCAAACTTGTTCTTATTATAGCGCTTGTAACGGTTGTGTCTGATGGTGCCACGGTTTCGGTTGCCGGATGCAAGATCTGAGTTGGCTGCCTGAGTGACTTGCACTTACAGCAGTTCTCAACCTGTGGGTCCCCAGATGTTGTTGGACTACAACTCCCATCATCCCTGTGCTAGCGAGGGGTGATGGGAGTTGTAGTTCAACAGCATCTGGGGACCCACAGGTGGAGAAAGGCTGCAGCTAGGAGGTCCCTGAATCTGAGAGAGTCAGAGAAGGTGGCTGGAGGACTCCTTCCCACGGCCTCTAGCCTTCTGAGGGGCTCCGTGCAGTTGTGTGTGTGTGTTATTATTGTTGGGGTGGTGGTCTTATTGGCAGAGCGGGAGACCCCGCCAATGCCCAGCCCTACGATGTTCTCCTGCTTGCCTTGCTCAGTTTCCCCATCTGCAAAATGGGCACAAAAGGGAGAGGATTCCTTCTCCCTCTTTTGATCGATCCTGCTTATTTCTTGCTCCGTGTTTAGAACCTAGATGTTGAGATGGCTGGTTCAGAAAAGCTTGGGTGTAAGTTCCCTCTTCCAGGTTAAGCACAAGAGAAGGATGAAAGCTGTGGGCCTCTGATCCCAGTTCAAATCTTAGCTCTGCTGTGAAACTCACCAGGAGTCAGGTCAGCTTGCAAGATCTAGTATCTGGGTGATGGTACAGAGCTCCCTCACAGGGTTGTTGTGAAGGGCAGAATACTAGTGAACATAATTTATTAAAACATCTCCTAGAGGTGCGGCGAGACTATTTCATCTCTCTCCCTAACAAGCCGTTGATGGCAGGCAGAACGTGTCAGCCTGCTTTTCATCTTTTAAGGTATCTGTTAATATTTTTTTCAAACCTGTGCGTTGACAGGAGATGTGTGTGTGTGCATACATACCAGGCAGGTTAGAGCAGTGCATGAACCAAACATTCACCAGGTAGGTCTCCTGCATTTCATGGGTCGAGGGGGGAAAACTACACCTCTTGAATTTGCACCCGTAACACGGCTGGTGGAGGCAAAGGAATAATTTTGTTGGTGGTGGCAGGAAGGAGAAGAATCTGCTAAATGGGATTTCTGTTCAACATTTCACACTCCTCTTAAACAGCAGACAGTTACCGTACTTGTTGCTTGTCTTTCTAAACTAAAAAGCACAAGTTGAGGTTGCATCATTGTACTAGCATAGAATCATAGAATCATAGAATCATAGAGTTGGAAGAGACCACAAGGGCCATCGAGTCCAACCCCCTGCCAAGCAGGAAACACCATCAGAGCACTCCTGACATATGGTTGTCAAGCCTCTGCTTAAAGACCTCCAAAGAAGGAGACTCCACCACACTCCTTGGCAGCAAATTCCACTGTCAAACAGCTCTTACTGTTAGGAAGTTCTTCCTAATGTTTAGGTGGAATCTTCTTTCTTGTAGTTTGGATCCATTGCTCCGTGTCCGCTTCTCTGGAGCAGCAGAAAACAGCCTTTCTCCCTCCTCTATGTGACATCCTTTTATATATTTGTACATGGCTATCATATCACCCCTTAACCTCCTCTTCTCCAGGCTAAACATGCCCAGCTCCCTTAGCCGTTCCTCATAAGGCATCGTTTCCAGGCCTTTGACCATTTTGGTTGCCCTCCTCTGGACACGTTCGAGTTTGTCAGTGTCCTTCTTGAACTGTGGTGCCCAGAACTGGACACAGTACTCCAGGTGAGGTCTGACCAGAGCAGGTCCTGGGACGCTGCTCAAAGCCTAGGAGACATTTGTGGGTGCAAACGTGTGACAAGGCGTATGTTTTATTGGGGTGGGGGAGAGAGGAATGACTCTTATTCAGCACTGAGGGCCAAATCAGAAATAGACTGTGAATCAGAGGGCCACTGCTAATTCTAGCTGCCAATCATCCTTGCAAACATTCATTTCGGCCGCAATTCACTCTTGCAGCCTTGACAGGTGTCAAACTGCCATCGTTCCTTGCAGTGCCGTTTTTATTCCACAACTTGGAGAAAACCAAGCTACCTCAGAGGCAGCAGCAATGATGGGGAATGACGGGCAATGATGGGGAGGGCGAACTCACAGGGCTAGGAACTGTGCAGAGGACATGGGCTTCTGGACAATCTCTCTAACTCTAATTCTGCACGAGCCAGAGTTGTGTTCCACTATTTGAAATAATAAGGGACATGGATAGCGCTGTGGGTTAAACCACAGAGCCTAGGGCTTGCCGATCAGAAGGTTGGCGGTTCGAATCCCCACGATGGGGTGAGTTCCGTTGTTCGGTCCTTGCTCCTACCAACCTAGTAGTTCGAAAGCATGTCAACGTGCAAGTAGATAAATAGGTACCACTGCAGCGGGAAGGTAAACGGCATTTCCATGTGTTGCTCTGGTTTCACCAGAAGCGGCTTAGTCATGCTGGCTACATGACCCAGAAAAACTGTCTGCGGACAAACGCCGGCTCCCTCGGCCTATAGAGTGAGATGAGCGGGCAACTCCAGAGTTGTCCGTGACTGGACCTCATGGTCAGGGGTACCTTTACCTTTACCTTTTATTTGAAATAATTGATGGGGCAAAAAGTTCAGTAAGCTCTAGTGTAAAATGTTGACTTCTCCTAATGACTTTGCTCTCTCCATCCCCTCTGTGAAAATATGGCTGTCATGCAACCATATAGCACAAAACAATGCAACCATGTGCACCAGATCCTTTTTAAAAAAGTGTTTTTTCAAAAATAAAATAAAAATTAAACTTCATAGCGGCCTAGTTTCTGAACCGTCTTCAGAGGCAGCCCTACGTATAACGTGTTGCAGTAATCTAACCTAGAGATTACCAAAGCATAGATGACAGAAGGCAAACTATCCCTGTCCAGATAGTTGGGCCACCAGCCAAAGCTGATGGATGGTACTCTGTGCCATTGACACCACTTGAGACTCAAGCAACAGCGAAAATTCAGAAGTATCCCCCAAGCTACCAGATCCTTCGGAGGAAGTGGAACCCCATCACGAGCAGGCAACCTCCCAGCCGTCCGGTCTATGGAACTGCCCACCAACAGAGCCTCAGCCTTATCTGGATTGAGCTTCAGTTTT